CCTTAACACTGTGGAAGGTGTTAAGGGGATTGGCCCTTTCCTTCCCACTCACTACCATATTTATAGCCCTAGTTTGGTCCTTCCTATTATCTCTCACTGACCTTTTTTTTTAAGGTTTATTTATTTATGCATACAGAATTGGGGTACAGGCCAGAGGTGAAGGGGCAGTGAGAGGATTCACCAGAGACAGAGTGAGGTGCAGAACAGGTACACTGATGAGGGGAGCAGTGAGAGGGACAGGAGAGGTCTGCTGCCTTCCTGTCCAGGGACCCAACTCTCATGCTGAAATGGCTGCTGATAGCTTCAATAGCTTTGCTGTGCTGCGCTTTAATCCATTGCACCATCAGGGAGGGCCCGAAAAGATTTAATAAATATTCTCATTATTACAGTTTTCTGTGGCAACATTGACAGTCCCCCCCAAATATAAGGAACTTGCAGGAAGCATAAGCTTCTAGTGGCCCTAGAGCATGGTTGAAAGACAGTCATAACATTGTTTGTATTTTGGTCTTATCTATTTGAGATTTTTTTTTTAAAGATTTATTTATTTATTTATTCATATGGAACTGGGGTACAGGCCAGAGATGTGGAGGGTGAGAGGATTCACCAGAGACAGAGAAGGGAGCAGAACAGGCAGATTGATGAAGTACACTGCTGAGGAGAGCAGTGGGCGGGTCAGAAGTCTGCTGCGCCATGTGGATCTCCTGAGGGGCAGGTGGGAATCGAACTCATGCAGAAGTGGCTTTAGCTTCTTAGTGCTGTGCTTTAACCCGCTGCGCCACCAGTGAGGGCCCTCTATTTGAGATTTTAAAAACTGTTTTGCATAGAAGAACTGGGATGTAGGCCAGAAGTGCTGGGGCAGGGGAAAGGGAAGGAGTCACCAGAGATAGAGTGAGGAGCAGAACAAGTCGATTTACTGAAATACACTGCTAAGGGGAACAGCAGGCAAGACAGGAGAGGTCTGCTGAGCCATGTGGGTCACCTCCCTGACTGGGGATGAAACCCAGGCAGTAGTGGTGATAGCCCTGGGACTTAACATCTAGGCCACCAGAGAGGCTCCTTTTCAGTTTTATACCTACTCTTCATTGCCTGCTTTCTTGGATCCCTCTCTTCACATTTCTTAATTTGATCCCTCTCTCTCCTTCCTTATTTCAGGAAGAGAGTCCTAGTTCTCAGTGTCTGCCAGTTATTCTGATGAATATGTTACAGCAAAAATGAGGGAATGCCATTTATGTGATTAGAGTACAAAAGACTGACTTTCAGACTCTTCCTTCTCAACTTGCATGTTTAAAAAAAGATTTATTTATTTATGCATATAAGAACTGGGGTATAGGCTAGAGGTGCAGGGGGGAGGGGAAGTGAGAGGATTCACCAGAGACAAAGTGGGGAGAAGAACAGGCAGATCTACTGAAATACACTGCTGAGGGGAGCAGTGGGTGGGTCATGCGAGGTCTGCCACACCATGTGGGTCAGCTTCCTGGCCTGGATCAAACTGGTACTGCAGTGGCTGTAGATTGCTTCATAGTGCTGTGATTTAACCCATTGCACCATGAGGGAGGGTGTTTTTTTTTTTTAATTGTAAAATAAAATATTGACAGTAACATAATTTACTCCTAATTAGATATATTACAAACTTTAAGGTCTCTGAGATATGCAAGATCCTTGTATGTAACTGGCATAAATCTCATTATTTGAACACTCTTAATTGCTTTTGTGATCTATTTTTGTTTTTTCCACAAAAAAACTGTTATGTACTGTCCATAAATGCATCCAGTAAATAGAAAAATAAACTGGGATAAAAGCTACACATAATTATAATCTACCCATTTCATATACTTTTGTTTTTAGAGGCTCATTATAAGGATTTTTCTATTGAAATGGGCAGGTCATCCTTGCTGATTACCTGTTGATATGGTAACAACTTCTCCATAGCACTGCCTGCGTCCTAGGATCAGTGAGGTCGACTATATTAGTTATGAGGTACATCAACTTTTTCTTTCCTAGACCACAGCAAACAACAAGCGTAGAACTATGTATGCTTCCTGATACCTGCTCTTCTCAAGTTGCATGCCTGGATGAAGCAAATTGCCATATTGGAGAGGTCCAAACTGACAAGAAACTGAGACCTATCAATAGCCAATGAGGAACTTAGAGCAACAGCCTAGGAGGAATTGAGTCCTGCCAACAATTACATGAATGAGCTTAGGAGTGGATCCTTCCCTGTCAAGCTGGCACTTTGAATGACTCAGGTAAGCCATATCCAGATTCCTTACTCACAAAAACTATGAGATAACAAATATTGTTTTTTTAAAAGATTTATTTATTTATGAATACAAGAACTGGGGTACAGGCCAGAGATGTGGGGGGTGAGAGGATTCACCAGACACAGAGTGAGTTGCAGAACAGGCAGTGCACTGAAATACACTGTTGAGGGGAGCATGGGGCAGGCCAGGAAAGGTTTGCTGTGTCATGTGGGTCATCTCCCTGGCTGGGAATCTAACTCAGCCTCATAGTGCTGTGCTTTAACTCATTATGTCACCAGAGACGGTGCATAAATATTATTTTAAGTCACTAAGTTTTGGGGTAATCTGTCATATGACAAGCGATAATATGCCAGATAAATCTGACTGATTCCAAATTTCATGCTCTTCACAAGTTTTGTTTGTTTGTTTTGCCACTCTATATTGTTTCCAAGTGCCAGGTAACCTTCTGTTGCTTATTAGATGATCTCTGCATCCCCTAGAACAAGCTCTGGTATGATAGGGGCTTTGTTTGTTGTTTTCTTTATTTTCAATCAATGGCAGAATCCAGAAACTCAATACTATTTTTAAAATTTATATATATTAGTTTATTTTTACATTTTTTGTGCATTTTTCCATCTCAGTTGTAATCCCTTTGGGTTTCCCATCACCAAATCACCCATGTACCATCACCATAGTCCAGTGCATTTCCCTCCCCCCACTGTTTTTGATCCCATTTCCCTCTTCACCCCCACAAAATGTCTCTGGTATATAGCTGTTCATCATTATCATTATTTTCTTGCCTGTTCCATTATATTCCTGCTATGAGAGAAACCATGTAGTATTTTTCTTTTTCTTTCTAGCTTATTTCACTAAGCATGATCTTCTCCAGTTCCATCCATGTTGCTGCAAAAGCATTATGTTTCTTTTTTTTGGTTTCTGTGTAATATTCCATTGTGTATATGTACCATATCTTTTTAATCCATCTTTTGGGCATTTGGGCTGTTTCCATGTCTTTCCAATTGTAAATAAAGCAGCAATAAACATGGGGGTTCAGGTATCTTTTTGAATCAGTGTTTTTGTGTCTTTTGGGTAGATACCTAGGAGTGGGATTGTTGGGTCGTAGGGAAGCTTCATGTTTAGCAGTTTGAGGAACCTCCAAACAGTTTTCCATAGTGGTTGTACTCATTTGCATTCGCACCAGCAGTGCAGGAGAGTTCCTTTTTCTCTACATCTTTGTCAACATTTGTTGTTGGTAGTTTTTTAAACATGTGCCACTCTCACTGGGGTGAGGTGTTATCTCAATGTGGTTTTAATTTCCATCTCTTTTATTACAAGTGATGTTGAACATTTTTTCATATGCTTGTTGGCCATCTGCATTTCCTCTTTGGAGAAGTGTCTTTTTAGCTCTTCTGCCCATTTTTTTGATGGGGTTGCAGAAACTCAATACTTTTAAAGTCCCCTGTTCCTATGGTGGCAGACAGCTGGGTTAAACAGCCAGGGATTCTAGCCTCCAGCAGCCTAGAGACTGTCCATTGTCTTTAGGATCAGGTGTCTCTGTTGACAAGGCTGGCTGAGTTATCCTATTCAAAATCTTTTTGGGGCATTGCTCCGAATTTGCATAAACACTTCAAAAAAAACCAAGTCTTCCACTTTCCTTCTCCAGGCTCTTTGGAGTGTCACTCTCTTGTAGCACATATTCCAGTGAGAGGAATTTATACAGGGCAGCAAGGGGCACTAACATTGGCCAAGGACACTGCCCCAATAGTTTACTGGTCACTGAGTTTTTCACTCATGCACAATTGCAAGACTACTCTGGTTCAGAGAACAGCAATGGGATTTATTTAACAAATCAGGGAAAAACAAAGTATTGCTGAGGCAAAAAATGGCTATTTACTTCACTTGAAACAGTGTCCAGTGTTTTTTAGTCCTAAACAAAAAGGCTTCTAAGCTGGCATCTTCTTGCCACCGAGGCCTGGAGCATTCTGCAGCCAGACTACAGGCCAGATTCTAACTCATGAAGACAACAGAAGACACAAAAGGAGATACTCCCAGAGCTGTTGAGCTGCTCTATATATCCAGTGGAATGCTACTCAGCTGTTTAAAAAAGATGACATAGTACCTTCTGGGATAAAATCGATGGATCTTGAGGTGATTTAGAAAATAATTTTGCCAGTAAGTGAAGACAGTCATCAGATGGTTTCATTCACTTGTGGAGTATAAATAACCCCCCCAAAAAAAATCTGGCAAGGCCCAACAAAATAAACCTTAGACTCTTGAAAATATAGTGGTTACCAGTGCAGATGGGAAGGGTTGGAGGGAGTGGAGGTAATAGCCTATAGTACTGGAGCTTTGGGCGAGGGTGAGTAAAGCACAAGTTGAGGTGAGAAACTGTACTGTCATTTATATAGTTTTATAAATGAATGGCAAAGCAATGATACCTAATAAAAAAAATCTGCTCTTGGGTGGAAGCCTCTCCTGCGGGAGCAAAGTAGAGGCCTTCAATGGGCCTGGCACAGGTGAGAGGAAGCCCCGCCCCTCTCGCCTCAAGTCCTGTTAGCGGACAGAGCGGCCGTGGTTCTAGCACGTCAGGAAAATCAGAGAGCCGCCTCCTGCGCGCCGGTGGGGGCGGGGTCGGGGGACTGGGCGTGAGCTGATTGGCTGGGAGGCGGGGCGCCACGGACTCGGGCGGTGCTGGCAGGAATCCCTGGTGGAGTGACGGAGGGAGTCCTCTCAGCTCCTACCTCCCAGCGATGGCGCCGCGGTGCCGCGCCCAGTCTCTCTCCCGCCCGCCGGCACTCACAACTCTCCCAAGCTTGTCCACACTGTGAGAGCTGAGGCAAGTCCGAGGGAGCGGCGGGGCGCTGCCGGCGAGGGGCACCATGAGGAGCGGCCAGCCCTGTGGGGTCGAGAGCTGGAGCGGCCGCGGCACCTGCTGAGTGAAAGGGAGCGGCCGGTCGCTCGGCGCGGCTGGGGCGCGGCGGAGGCTCGCCGGCGGCTCGGCCATGTCGCTGCTCTGCGTGCGCGGTGAGTCCCAGGGCTGGGATAAGGGGGCGGGGGTGGCGGAGGGTTCCCCGCTTGCTTCCCGTGGGGCAGCAGAGTACCACCTTTGCCCAACTTCACTTCGCGTGCGTGCTTCAGTGGGAAAAAGAAACTATGCTGTGGTCTCGTTTGTAATGGTTTAAAGATTCTTTTCACCCTAGTTTTCCCTTCACGCTCCTGGAGGGGACTGTTACCTCTCCATTCCGGTAACCATGTGACTGTTGTTGGCTGGCAGGCCCAGATCCTATTAAACTGTGACTGGCGCTCTCCTACAGGGAGAGTGGACGAACTAGGAGACCCAGCAGGGTTGGAGACTGCCAATACAGAGCAGCTTCCCATTCTTCCCTTTCTTCTCCCTGCACCGTAAAACTACAGTTAGCTCAGTAGCAGGTTCTTTTTATCTCTCTTTAAAGGCGCATTAGTTCGGCTAATCGCATCCCTTCTTCCATTGTATGACCAGCACCCCTCTATTGCTCGTCTGATCCTCTGCTTATTTTCTTATTAGATTTGAAAATGTGTGTTGGTATTTCTCCTTTAGAAGCGGGGCGTTAAGTATGATCGATTCATTTGGCTTCAGTCGTATACCTACGGGTGAATGGCCTTTATTGCTTTTCCACTGAGGACACTTGACCCATCTTAGAAGATATTTTAAGGCAAGAACATAGGGATTTAACCTGAGGCAGTGTGCATGCACTGAGCTCCCTGAGGTTAGATACTGTTTCTTACTGGCTCTTGTATTCCCAATGACTATATGTGTGAAGCTCAATGCTAGTTTTGAATGAATGTAAGGACTGTGATTTTAAGAGATTATCTGTTCAGAAAAAGCAGGGTTTGGATTGCCCATTGAATGTGATCTTGGGAAATTCAAGTTACAGACCATCGTATCTGTGTTGAACAAGATGGGATAAGGTGACTTCATTGTGAACAGGGAGAGATTTATCCACAGTAGCCTTTTCCTGGCACCCTTGCTGGATACTTAGGAGTTCAAGTTTCTTTTGGCTCTTAAGGATTAGAAGCCTTGTTGTGATCTCTTTGATAACAGTGCTTCCCCCAAGCTGGCATACTGAACTGCTTTGCTCTGTTCTCTTCCACTATTTTGTTAAATCTGCATTAACCAGAAATGGATTTGGCTATTTCCGGGGATTATGAGACACAGGATTTTTCTTCTCTCATGGTTGGTTTTTCATTAATGAGAATTTTGCTTTGCTTTTAGTAAGACATTTGTCTCAGCAGCTGGGAATCTATTTATTCCTTTAGATCCCTGCTGTTGAGTAGCAGGATTTGGGAGCGTTTGGGTTTTGCAATGTCTCTTGGATAGTTTAAATCTCTATTACTAGTCTTTATGGAAGAATTTTTTAAGGCAGGAACACTTTTAAACCTGAAATTCCTATTTACTTGCATTTAAATAACTTCCAAGATGGACCTGCTGCTGTTTGTGCTAAAACTGGACAGCTTTAAAAATTGTATTACTTAGCTGACTTCTTATCCTTTCAGTGCTACAGTAATCATATTTCTCTTAAAATGAAACTTGGGGCTTGGAGACCAACAGGTGATTGTCTTTTGTTGGAGAGCTTGAAGAGAAATATGATTACTGAAACAAGCAGCTATATAATATAGAAGTATTCATATTAAATGGCAAAATGTTAATCGTGGGGACACTTTCAGAAATGGATCAAGATAAATCTTTCTTAAATGACATTCCTTACATTATAGATTGGCAGTAATAAGTGTTATTAAAATTCTGAAAGAGTCTGTGTAGTGATATTGTATAACACCTCTTGGAGTAGAATTGAATTATAAACTTTGCCGTGTATTCAAGATTCAAATGCTAGTTAATGTGGTGTAGAAATTGGCTATCTAGTATTGACTTAATCATCTCCAAACATCTTTATCAAGAAGTCAGTTTCTAGAGCTAACCATTTAATCATGAATTACTGCTTCCAGGATAAGGGCTTTCAATATTCTGATGCCAGTACTCATTTTTGGCCTGGTATTCTTGACTGTTCTTATTCAGGTAGTTTGGCACTACTTTTGTTAATCTAATTCTGTATAGTTTTGTGTCCCCTGAAATATTACGCACCTGTGCTCCCTGAAATATTCTTAACAAAATTTCTGCTTATCAAAAATGTTTCCTTCCCTTCCCAGCTTACAGTGTGCTCTTCTTTGTCAGAAACTTCAATTCCTCACTCCACAGTAATTTTTCTCCTTTAAACTTGTTCTTAAACACCATTAAACATAAATTATTTGTGGTCTGAAGAGTGGCACTAATTTGGCAGTGAACTGTATACTTCCTGGCAACTAGCCTGGATTGTTTTTCTTATGGTGACCCAGACAAGGAGGTAATAGCAGTGGTTCAGGTCAGATCTGGAATTTTGTGTTCAGCTGAGGTGTTTCATGCTAAGAAGACGCACTAAAAAATTAGAATATTGTAAGAGGAGAGGGATTGGAATAATGAAGACTAGAAGAATAATGAGTAGAACATGAGAGGTTTAATGAGAACTTTGAGACTATTTGAGAGGAAGAAGATCATAGTAGTAGATGAAAATTGTTTAAAAACTGTTGTTCCAGAAGACAGAACTGGGACACCTTGACCAATGATCAAAATTATAGGAAATTAGATTTTAGCTTAATGTAAAGAAGAATTTTAACAATTGGAGCTGTTCTTTAAGAGATGAAATGAGGGCCTCCCTGTGGTGCAAGGGGTTAAAGTGCAGCACTATCTGCAGCCACTGCAGCCATGAGTTTGATCCCTGGCCAGGGAGGTGACCCATATGGAACTGCAAACCTCTCTTGTCTCACCTTCTGCTCCCCTCAGCAGTGTATTTCAGTCAGCCTGGCTGTTCTGCTCCCCACTCTGTCTCTGGTAAACCCCTCTCACTCCACCCCCCCACTCACTTCTCCCAATTCTTGTATGCATAAATAAATAAAATCTTTAAAAAAAATGAAATGGACTACTAATGAGGTCTCTGCTTTTTTTTTTTTTTTTTTTGATGTAGGCCACTAAGCTGATGTTGAGTGAGTAGTAAGGGTATTCTAATATGGATGTTGAAGTTGAATGTTAGGTTAGATTTGAAGAATTTTAAGAAACCACTTTTATAACATTCACTTATTTTTCAAATATTTTGCACAGCTTTCCTTATAATACTAATAAATTTTTGCATCCATAGAAACTGGTATCACATGAGCAACTCCAGTTAACTAAGTCAGGAATTTTCTTTGACTTTGGTTGTTGTCATGACAGGATTCTTTAAACAAATTATAAAGGTTTTGAGAATTGAGTTTTTCCATATTTCTTTGTAATTCCCATGGTGTTTATTGTTGAGTTATGGAGCTGCCCTCAGGGCTCCCCCAATCCAGAAGTGTCCACCCTTGTTAAAAAAAATCAAAACCAAAAAAAAAAGACTTGATGGGAACTTTGAAAAAGCAATATAGATTAATATATGTTAACCAGAGAAAATCCAGAAAAATAGGAAAAGGAAAATAAAAATCATCATAGTTCTTACTACTCCCAGTATTACTGTTGACTTTTTTTTTATCAATTGCTTTCATTTTAGTTTTTCATTATAAAGATTATATATGAAATTCCAATGGTTTAGGATGTGAGGTAAAGAAAAAAGTCTTCCTGTCCCCATCCTCTATTCTTACTCTGCAGAGAGAGCTTCATATTGTTTACTGTTTCTTGCATAACCTTGTAGAAATTTTTATTATGTATGAATGTATATTCTACTATAGAATATTCAATTTTTAAAAAGATTTATTTATTTTTGCATACACAACTGGGGTACAGGCCAGAGGTGCAGGGGCAATGAGAGGATTTACCAGAGACAGAGTTCCTGCTGAGGAGAGCAGCAGGCAGGACAGGAGAGGTCTGCTGCACCTTGTGGGTTAGCTCCCTGGCCTTGGATCGAACTCAAGCTGAAGCGACAGTCGCTAGCTTTGCAGTACTGCGCTAATTTAACTTGTTGCGCCACCAGGGGAGGGCCCTCAATTTGTTTTTAACTTAATGAAATAGTTTTCTATCAGTATATTTGAGCTTAAGTCATTTTTAATGCTGCAGGGTATTTTTTTTTTAAAGATTTATTTATTTGTGCATACAGAACTGGGGTACAGGCCAGAGACTCAGGGGTGGTGAAAGACTTCACCAGAGACAGAGTGGGGAGCAGAACAGGCAGATCAACGAAGTACACTGCTGAGGGTAGCAGTGGGCGGGTCAGGAGAGGTCTGCCACACCATGTGGTCACCTCTGGGGCAGGTGGGAATCGAACTCATGCGGAAGTGGTTTCAGCTTCTTAGTGCAGTTCTTTAACCCACTGTGCCACCAGGGAGGGCCAGGGTATTTTTTTTTTAAAGATCTATTTATGCATACAAGAACTGTGGAACAGGCCAGAGGTGAGGGGAGTGAGAGGATTCACCAGAGTGGGGAGCAGAACAGGCAGATCCACAAAAATACACTGATCAGGGAAGCAGTGGGTGGGTCAGGAGAAGTATGCTCTGCTGTGCCATGTGGGTCAGCTCCCATGTGGGTGGGGTTCGAACTCATGTTGCAGTGGCTGTGAATAGCCTCTTAGTGCTGTGCTCTAATCCATTGGGCCAGTAGGGAGGGACAGCTGCAGTGTATTCTATTAGTATATGTAATTTTTAACCAGCTTCATAGTATGGGCATTCAGAAGTTTTTTCTTTTTGCTGTTAGAAACAGTACTACAGTGAATATCTTTGCATGCTTTTTGTTATGAGTTTGGAGATCAGCTTCCTACCTAGACATTTTGTGTGGCTCATTGCTGTTTTCTGGCATAGTAAAAGCACTCAGTGGGACCCATTAGCAAAATCAGATGCCTCAACTATCTCTGAGATCAGCATTCTTTATTAAAGGCAGTAATATTTTATGCTTATTAAAAGACCAAAGTTATCTGTTCCTTTAAATTTGACCTATTATTTCTATGTATTTTTCTTTTTTGTATTGAAAAACTATCATCCTTATCGAACAC